CGCGTGCACTCTGCGAACCTCTCGCGCTGTCACCGGGTCCCCGCAGCCAGCGTCTCCCCACGCCTCGCGCTCCCTCCCGGTCTCTGCTCCCGGCGCCACGGCGGTACTGCCGCTGCCGCCGCCGCCTCTCCGGCTGGTTACACGCCTGATTCTGGGCGAGGTTTGGCGGTGTCGCCTTGACGTCAGGCGTTCAGCCTCGCTCTCGCTTCCGTCCGCGGGCGGGGCGCGGGGCGCGAGGGGCGGGGCGGGCCCCCGCGGGGAGGCGGGGCCGCTGCGCCCAGGGGTCCTCGCTGCGGTCCTCCTGCCCCGCCTCCAGTGGTGCGCGGAGCGCAGGCGTAGCCCACGCGGCGCGGTTAGTGGCGCTTCCCCGCAGTGTTTTCTCCGTAGTGTTTCCTTGTTGCCTCCAACACCCCTCAGCGACACTTCGGTTGACTGGCTGGAGGGTGGACTCGTGTGTCGCGCCCCACCCCCCGAGTACGCGCCTTTTCGACCCCAGTGAGTTAACAGTGATGCGAAGGGCTTAGAAACCCTTCAAAAACCTCGTAATGAGTGACGTGGCCTCAAAGGTAACTTTTTTACGCCAACTGTAATTCAGCCATTAACGTCACCAAACAGTTGCTGTTCGTGTATTCCTTTGTGCTAGGGAAAAGAGCCGGAGAAGAGAGCCCGCGGTTTCCACACCTAGAGTTCGCATGAAGGAGTCTAGGCCAGGGCAGTCTTCATCCTCGGAGTGGCTTTTCTCTTGAACTGGAAAGTGTTGCAGCCACTGGTGTTTTAACCCGTCTAAACTCTACACATTACCCTGCCAGACTCAGTAAACAAATCAATAATCCCCAAACACCAAGCTTCTATTCTGTACCAAAATCAGTATTTGTGTGACTAAAAAAATTGCTCATTTAATGCCTCACTCGGACAGTTCAGTGACTTTGTAAAGGTTTACCCATATGAAGGTTTATAATGTGACATAAGGGTACCAGAAAGCACTTCCGTTCCAAAAATACGTTGTTCCAAAAAGGGTAGGGTTATAATGGAAATACCCTTAGCAAGGGAATTTGCCATCATTTAAGACAAGACTAAAAAGTACAACTTCCCCTATATAAGAAATTTATCTGAGCTTGTTTTGGGAGCCAGGTTTGATGGGCGGAGAGAGTCAGAGAAAATGCAAAGTGCAGGGAAAGGTAGGGGTTGGGGACCACTGAAGACAAACTTTGCTTAGTTCGTAGTTTAACTGGACCCTGTACAGATTATTCTTTTTTTTTTTTAATTGTGCTTTAGGTGGAAGTTTACAGAGCAAATTAGTTTCTCATTAAACAATTAATACACAAATTGTTTTGTGACATTGGCTGCCAACCCCGCAATGTGTCAACACTGTCCCCTTCTCTACCTTGTGTTCCCTGTTTCCATTCCTCCAGTTTTCCAGTTCCTACCTGGCTTCTCTTCTTTGCTTTTGGGCTGATGTGTCCATTAGTCTCATAGAGATGATTGAAACTACCAAGCACGTTCCTCACGGGTGTTATTGTTGGCCCTATAGGCCTGTCTAATCTTGGCTGAAGGGTAAACCTCAGGATTGACTTCAGTACTGAGTTAAAAGCGTGTCTGTGTGGGGGCCATACTCTCCGGGTTTCTCCGGTCTCTGTCAGACCAGTAAGTCTGGTCTTTTTGTGTGTGTGTGTGTGTGTGTGTGTGTGTGTGTGTGTTTGTGTGTGTGTATGTGTGAATTTGAATTTTGTTCTACATTTTTCTCTTGCTCTGTCCAGAACCCTCTATTGTGATCCTGCCAGAGCAGGTGGTGGTGGTAACCAAGCACCAAATAGTTGTTCTGGACTCAGTCTGGTGGAGGTTGTGGTAGTTGTCTGTTGGTCCCTTTGGACTAATTTTTCCTTTGTGTCTTTGGTTTTCTTCATTTTCCTTTGCTCTAGCTAGGATGGGCCCAGTAGATATATCTTAGATGGCCGCTCGCTGGCTTTTAAGACCCCAGATGCTACTCACTGCAGTTGGATGTAGAACATTTTCTTTATAGATTACGTTATGCCAATTGAACTAGATGTCCTCCAAAACCATGATCCCCGGCCTTCAGCCCAGTAGCTCGTTCCTCAGGGCGTTTGGATGTGTCTATGAATCTTCTATGACTTTGCCCTGGTCACGTTGTGCTGATTTCCCCCCAGTATTGTATACTCTCTTCAAACCAAACCCAAACCCGTTGACATTGATTCAGACTCATAGCGACCCCATAGGGCAGAGTAGAACTGCCCCATAGGGTTTCCAAGGAGCAGCGGGTGGATTCAGACTGCCCACCTTTTGGTTAGCAGCCATAGCTCACCGTATCTCGTAACTACTATGCTGACAGGGCTCTGGTGTACTGGCTTACCCTTCACCAAAGTTACCACTTATCTACTATCTAGTTAGTGTTTTTCCCTCCCCACCCTTCCCCTCCCTCATAACCATCAAAGAGTGTTTCTTACTGTGTGGAAACATTTTCATAATAGCGATCTCATACAGTATTTGTCCTTTTGTGATTGACTTATTTCACTCAACAGATTGCCCTCCAGATTCATCCAAGTTGTGAGACGTTTTGAAGATTCATCATTGTTCTTTATGGTTTTGTAGTATTCCATTATGTGTATGTGTAATAGTTTGTTTATCCATTTATCTGTTGATGGGCACTTAGGTTGTTTCCAGCTTTTTGCTCTTGTGAATAATGCTGCAGTGAACATGGGTGTGCATATGTCTCCTCCTGTGACGGCTCTTATTTATCTAGGATAGATTCCTAGGAGTGGAATTGCTGGATTGTGTGGTATTTCTATTTCTAGTTAAGGAAGCACCATATCGTATTCCAAAATGGTTGTACCATTTCACATTCTGACCAGCAGTGCATAAGAGTTACAATCTCCCTGCAACCTCTTCAACATTTGTTATTTTCTGTTTTTTTGATTCATGCTAGTTATGTCAGGTTGAGATGTTATCTCATTGTAGTTTTGATTTGCATTTCTCTAATGGCTAGTGATCTGGAGCATTTCCTAATGTATCTGTTAGTCACCTGCATGTCTTCTTTGTTGACATCTCTGTTCATATCCTTTGCTCATTTTTTAATTGGATTATTTGTCTTTTTATTGTAGAGGTATTGGATTTTCCTATAGATTTTAGAGATTAGACCTTTGTTGGATATGTTATAGCCCAAAATTTTTTTCCCAATCTTCAGGTTCTCTTTTTACTCTTGGCAAAGTCTTTGATGAGCATAAGTGTTTACTTTTTTAGAAGATCCCATTTATCTAGCTTACCTTCTGCGATTTGTGTATTTGTTAATTATGGTTTGTATCCTGTTTATGGAAACCTTGGTGGCGTAGTGGTTAAGTGCTGTCTATGGCTGCTAACCAAAAGGTCGGCATGTTTGAATCCATCAGGCACTCTTGGAAACTCTATGGGGCAATTCTACTCTGTCCTATAGGGTTGCTATGAGTCAGAATCGACTTGATGGCAAAGAGTTTGGTTTTTTTGGTTTTTTATCCTGTTCATGACGTATATTAGGGCCTCTAGTGTTGATCCTATTTTTTCTTCCATGATCTTCATAATTTTTGCTTTTATATGTAGATCTGTGATCCCTTTTGAGTTGGCTTTTGTGTATGGTGTGAGGTATGAGTCTTTTTTCATTTTTTTACGGATGGACATCCAGTTTTGCCATCACCATTTGTTGAAAAGATTGTCTTTTCTCCATTTAATGGACTTTGGGCTTTTGTCAAAGATGGATTTACATCCAGGTTCTTGATTCTGCTCCATTGGCCAATTTGTTTATCTTACCAGTAACAGCCTGTTTTGACTACTGTAGCTATGTACCAGGTTCTGAAGTCTGGTAGTGCAAGGCCTCCTACTTTGTTCTTCTTCTTTAATAACGCTTTACTTCTTTGGGGCTTCTTTCTTTTCCATGTAAAGTTAATGATTAGTTTTGCCATCTCTTTAAAGAATGTTGTCAGTATTTGGATGAGGATTGCATGGTATTTAAATTGCTTTGGGTAGAATTGTCATTTTCACAATGTTTGAGTCTACCTATCCACGAGCATGGTATGTTTTTCCATTTTTGTAGGTCTCTTTTGGTTTCTTGCAGTAGTTTTTTTTTTTTAATTTTTTTATATTGTACTTTAGATGAAGGTTTACAGAACAAATAGTTTCTCATTAAACAGTTAGTACACATATTGTTTTATGACATTGGTTAACAACCACACTACATGTCAACACTCTCCCTTCTCAACCTTGGGTTCCCTATTTCCAGCTTTCCTGTCCCCTTCTCCCTTCTAGTCCTTGTCCTTGGGCTGTTGTATTGTAGTTTTCTTTGTATAGGTCTTTTACGTCCCTGGTTAGATTTATTCCTAAGTATTTAATTTTTTTAAGAGCTATTATAAATGGTATTGCTTTCCTGATTTCCTTTTTGTCGTTCTCTTCATTGATGTATAGGAATCCAACTGATTATTGTATATTGATCTTGTATCCTGCTGTTCTGCTGAATCTTTCTGTTAGTTCCAGTAGTTTTCTTATGAAGTATTTAGCATTCTCTATGTATAGTATCATTTCACCTGTGAATAGGGATAGTTTTGCTTCTTCCTTACCAATTTGGATGCCCTTTATTTCTTTTTCTTGCCTTTTTGCTCTAGCTGCGACTTCCAGCACAATGTTAAATAGTAGTGGTGATAAAGGGCATCCTTGTCTTGTTCCCATTCTCAGGGGGAATGTTTTAAGCCTCTCTCTGTTGAGAATGATGTTGGCTGTTTGTTTTGTACAGATGCCGTTTATTATATTGAGGAATTTCCCTTCTATTCCTATCTTTTTGACAGTTTTTATCAGGAATTGGTGTTCACTTTATCAAATGCCTTTTCTGTGTCAATTGAGATGATTGTGTGATTATTTTGTTTTGTTTATGTGGTAGATTATGTTGATTGATTTTCTAATGTTGAACCATCCTTGCATACCTGGTATGAATCCCTCTTGGTTGTGGTGTATTATTTTTTTTATATGATGCTGAATTCTGTTGGCTAGAATTTTGTTGAGAATTTTTGCATCTATATTCATGAGAGATATTGGTCTGTTTTTCTTTTTTAGTGGCGTCTTTGCCTGGTTTTGATATCAAGGTTAGTCTGGCTTCATAGAATTAATTCGGAAGTATCC